GAAAAGACGCGGTGTAATAAGAGGTGAATGACAAATTTTCGTGAATTAATCCATGCGAAGAGATAGAACGATAAGAACAAATTATTTGCGCGCGTTTTTTTTCCTAAGGATTGTAAATCCACCATAAATAGGTGTAATACGGGAATGGATGTAAATCGTAAAACGAACCATTGGAGATATACTTGCTTGCGCCCTATCTGTGAAATAGCAGTCGATATTCTCTCAGGAAACTCTATAAAATAAAATTAATTGCAGTTTCTAAATGCAGTCTACAATTATTTCTTTACAAATATGTTGCTTGCAATATATAAAATATTCTGAAATCTTAAGTACAATTGTCATTTAATAAAATAAGAAATTTTTTTTATAATTATCATTTACCGAAGCATTTCATTTCACCAATGTTTTTAAATTACCATCATATACCACCGTTCTTTCTACTTTTCATAAATTAATGCATTTCAATTTAATTTTTACTTTCAATTTAATCACAAGTTTTAAGAAGTCCTGACACAATTAGGCAAATAAAATTTATTATATATTTATTATATTTCTACAAAATTTCTAAAAATTATATTTCTGTTTAGAATTTTACTCATAGGAGATAAGAATTGCAGTGAGATTTATATCAAATAGCACTAGTGCCCAGTGAGGCACTTAAATAAATGAATCCGCTGAGATTTTAGTCGTTAAAGTATAGCATGGCTTTGCGTAGATCACACAGCCCACATCGGTTTTATACCTCGTGGTTTACTAGCAATCGTAATTCGCGAATTTTACAATGTTGAGTTTACGAGCTTTCAACGAGACGTATGTTCCAGCAAGTGTTTTTCTTCCGCATTTTGTTCCTAGCTTTTCTCTATCGTTTACGATATAGGTCATGTTTTTGAAATGCACTTAAAGATAGTACAGGTACTATCTTGCGGCGTAATCGTATAAGTGGTATACGTTAAAAAAATAACTTAAAAAATGACTTAAAAAAATTAATTTAATATAAAAGCAGAGTAGTTGTCGACAATAATAAGTGATAGTGAATGAGTGCATGGATAAGATCGATAAATCAGAATAACTCTAAATTTATTTCAACAAACTAGTTTTTGCAATGTATCAAAACTATTGCAATTATTAATATTTCTATTTCATGATTAATATTTCTACTTTCTTAATATCTTTCTACGTATAATATTTCTGCACTGACATAAGTTCCATCCAGGATTTATTTTAGGATCAATAGCGCTTATTTTGTAATCTTTCATGTTTTGTGTGTCCTTCTATTTAGATAAATTTTCATAAAATATAATTTTTTTACAATAATATTAATTATTCTCATGTTATATGTAATTAGGTCTAATACAGAAAAAATATATTACCACTAAAAGAAAAAAGTCAAGATAGTTTTTGTGATAATTCAAATTCAAATATAATAAAGATAACGAGAATTGGCTGGTCACAAAGGAAATTTTTTGTCAACATTTATATATAATGTTTTCTAAATCAGTGATAACGAATTTTAAATTTAAAAAATTTGAAATTTCTATATGTTTAAAATTTCCTTCTGGAAAAAAGATCATGTGATAAATTTTTAATAAACAATATATTGTAATATAAAGCATATCTAATCGTTTTTTATTTTAATTCATTTCTTAGTTTCATTAGTTTACGTATATTAGTTCAATTAATTTGTAAAAAAATCATATTTTCTTCTTTTAATTTGTTTACAATCAAAAATATATTAATTAATTAAAACATCATTAAAAATGATAGTTTGAATTCTTCAAAGTATATGATACATTGTACGCATATTTATAATTAAAAAATTAAGGAAATATTTAAAAGATTGACAAGAAAAAGATGGAATGTATAATATTCCATCATGCTTTTGTAAATATTTTAGACACAAAAAAGTCAAATAATATTTTTTAGCTTTACTAGTAATTAAAAATTATCGAATATAAATAAAAATCTTAAGTGTAAATTAAAAAAATGTTAAGTTCTTATTCGACATATCGCGAAAAACATACTGCGTTTTATATGTATATTTCATTTACATGAAAATCAAAGAAATTTACATGAAAGATTTATGTTATATAGAAAATACAAATACCTTACAGTCTTTAACAGCTCTTTCTTTTCGTTACTTTCTTACGAGTAAAAAGTCCAAACGTTTCTATATCTATTTTCTATATCGAAAAAACGGTTAGAATAGTAAACAAATTTGGAGAAAAAAAAAACGGACGGAGAGGAGATTGCTGAGATAACAGAATAAGTAAATGGGTAATGAGACAACAGTGGACACGAGTATAGATGAGAGAAAATAATAGCTTTCCCCTTATTCTATCCCTTAATTCTGTTATGCATACGGGCATCGTCGACTATATCCCGACGTATCCTGATATATGTAATGGGGCATACGATGCGTCTAGACAAAATAATGATTTGGATTTCAATACATTTGCATTCATTACCTCGGGGCACCTTTCTCCTGTTCACGGTCTGCGATTCGCGCGGTCTCTTCTTTTGCCATTTCGCATTTCGCAGAGTTACTCTCGTTATCATACAAATGCTCTACTACTAGTATCGCGCGTGCGCGACGGCGTTCATTTTGTCGCCGTCGAAATGCGATACGACGGGCGATCAGGACTAAATCGATATTGAACGCGCTACGACTAAAGATACAAAAGAAAGAAGAGATTACGAATTTTCCGTGATCGACTAATGACACGAGACCGCGCATCCGTTTCTCTTTTCTTTATCTTTTATTGCTTTCAGCACTCACGCATGCTTGTATCTTATTCGTATAGATCGTAAATGAAAGATTTGTTTTAAAATTATAATTTTTTGGCACAAAACGTGGTGAAAATTGTGACAAATCTTTTGCCTAATATATGTGACAACACATATGTATCTCCCCAGCAAACGAGAACAAATTGGATTGAATAAATCCGTATGAATAAAGTTTTCAAATCCGTGAAAAAGATATTTAATTTTGTAGATACTGAACACACTGAATTTCCTATACGTTTCCTATACGTCTAGTTACAATAATCTAAATAGCAAGATGTCATTAACGTCCATTATAACGTCCATTTTACGTCATTAATCACCAAGCTCACGTTATATAGTAAAAGTCGTCAAAAAGGAAATCATAATGACGTTTATAAATCACAGACCGATGACGTGACCGTATTTATGACGATAAAATTACGGTTGCGTTCCGATATTGACCGCTAGTACCAAAAATCTATAATATACGTAACACTCCTTACGGAAAATAAGTGAAAAAAATGAAAAAATGAAAAAAAATGAGAAAAAGTGATGAAACATCTTTTATCTTTTTTCTACCACCGCATGTTTCTAAAACGGTTACCCATTCTACTTGGGATCTTGCTCGATGTTACTTAACTTCTATATTGGAATGAGATCTGCTACTGAAATGATGATATAAGTGAATACAGAATTTTGAATATGATATATAAATATGAATAGATCTGGTTAATGAATGTTGCTATATTCTCGTATAAATAGTCTCAATTTTAAAATCTCGATTGCATATGTAATTCTTGTAGATTTAATTTAATCACATATATAGAGCGGTGAACCTATATTATGTTTAATGAGAGTCATTTTTTTATGAAAATTGTTTATAAATCGTTGTATATATTTTGTTTACTTGTTTATTGTGAATTTAATTATAATAATTGTGTTAAATATGGGAAATTTCTTCTTATTTATATATTATAGTTAATTAAGAAAGATAGTAATTAATAATGCTATTTCATTATTTATTCATTAAAAATGACTTAAAAATGATGATATATTTATAACGATAATATTTCGTGACAAATGTTACGTTTATTTTACGTCATTATTTAGTATACCGACATCGAATGACAAAAAATGACTTTAAATCATCGTCGTTTATCGATGACGTTATCTTGTTATTTGGGAATGTGGATTCTGGTGGATTCAGGAGAATTCAAAAATGAAAATATGAATCTATTCCCTGTGCTTATAATTATATACGTGAATATAATTACATACGTGGATGGAAAATTCGTGGATTCGAGTGGATAATAAAAGCAAATGACCAATCCACAATTACGAATTGAAACGAATTGGTAGCAAGTTTCATTTTGATATTCATTGCGTGAAATACAAAAAGCAACTGGCTAATCTGTATTTATTCAAATGGATTAGTCGCACATTTCATTTCTATGCATACTGGATAGGATACAAAAAGTAAATAGCCAATCTATAATTAATGATTCAAATGGATTACGAATAGAAAATAGATTCAAAAAATCCAAAAACTTCGACATTGCTTCAATGAATAATTTTCAATATTTTTCAATTATTTCTCGTTTGCTGGGTCATTTTGAAAAGACTTTCGAGCCTCGATTTTTTAAAAATAATTTTTCTTTAGGTATATGTAAAGTCGTTTCGATATATTTTTTTGGCATCAAACACTATGAAATCGCAAGGAATTTTTTATCTAAATAGACAACAGAGACGCGCATAGTGCGCGCTATTACCTTTTTTAAATGGAAGGAGCAAAAATATAATACTATTATATTATTAACCGCGTGATACATATAATGTACAATTGTCAAAATGTATAAAAACAATCTCGGTGATGACAGCCACTTACGAAGTAAGTGCAACGAGAAAATTAATCAGCATCGCGGGAAAAAGGCAACGATAAGCTTTGAGAGATTCGAGACTTTCGAATTTCAATGTTAACATGCGTTTTTTTAATAGAGGATTTCTTTCTCATTGAATTATTATATTACTGTGTGATATCTAAATTATCCATCGGATTTATATCGGTGATAAATCTAGCAAAATTCTATAGATTTCTTGTAACAAATATTTCATCATTTAAAAAATTAAAAACGCAAGACTTTTGAAAACTTTTACAATCATTGCATGCTTACATATTTTTTGTGATCATATCAATTGTGATAATTAAAACAAGTTTAATGGAAATAAAGAAGACTTACAGGTTCCGTTCTTCCATCTCCATCCTTGCCCAAAGAGCGACCTTCGGACCAACCCATCTTCGAAAGTAATTTAAATCCTATGTTGTCCTTTGTTATTGATCTGTAATTAAATAAATATATACATAACTTAATTAAGATTTATATGTATTCTAATACACATATATAAAATCTTATGTATAGGTCTTGTTTTAAATGACGATTTCAAATATCTCTTAAACAATGTATTTTAAAGGAAAATGTTTCAATACAAAAATTGTAGGATTTCGAAGGGACATAACTACGATAGTAATATATTCGCAGATGGCGTTACTGTTGAAATTTTTTTATAATTCCATTTTTAAAAAATGGAATTATATAGCTTTACGCAGTACGATTTCTCTAATTATTCTGAATAAAAAATGATTAAGGTATAAATGTAAAAAAATCAATAATTTACAAAATACTTTGTTTCATTTTGGCATATTTCAACATATAACATCATAAAATCTCAAATTACTAATTCTTTAATAGCGGTATTTAATACTTTTATACAATAATGAAGTAATGAAACAAATCTCATTAGTGGAGAATTAGTGGAGAAAATATGTAGTTGTCTTTAAAAAAGTGTGTACTCGCATTTCGCTAATTGTATATATTTTTTAAAATAATTAAATTACTTCTTCGCACTGATTGAATATCTCTTATTATTCTATGCATAAAAATATTAAAGTATAATTATAAAAAAATGAATAATTCATTAAATATTTCATATTTTATGTCAGAATATGCGAGAATAAAATATAAAAAATATTTCATAAACCACTGACTTTTTGATTTGTATTTTAATATTTCTTTTCTTTTTCCAGAGTAAAACTAAAACTATAACTAAAACAATATTATATAACAAAAAATAATTTAAAAAATGGCGATTAAAAAAAATTTCAATAGTGGCGTCATCAACAAGTAAATCAATATTATTATCATGTGATTCTCTCGAAATGCTACAACTTTTATATGAAATAAGAAAAATGCAAGAGAAATGGATTTAAAATTTTCCTAACTTTTCCTTTTCTTATTGAGCTCAGCTTGTGAAAAAAAAAGGAAAAAACAAAATTTGGATCAGCAACATGCAGTATTTTAACATAAGATTTGTTCTTTTTGACTAAACTGGTATTAATTCACAGGTTATTTATCTTTCTTTTTTTATACTGGAAGAAGAAAGATAAACTCTGAACTAGTGCAACTAATTTAGCTAAAAAGAAAAGACGTGTAATAGTCAGCATAGGTGCCAGAATGGGATTTCGGCTCACTGAGGATCAAGTAGAAGGGGAACTGCAAACAAAGAAGAAATACATATATGTTTGCGTACATTCTCCTTTTTCGTACACAGTACAAATTCCTCTTCTACCTGATTCTTGGTGAGCCGAGACCTCATTTTGGCACTCCTAGTAGTTTCTTGTTTTACCCTTAATTACAATCGTTAACTGTATATTTCTCTCGAAATCAATATATGTTGAATATAGAAGACTTAATTAACGGAAGATAGTACTAAGATGTATATGAAAGAATGACCGCAAAAATACCGCAAGAATCGCCTGTTTGGTCACCCTCGAAAATGGACTTGAATTCAGTCCTAAACGATAGTTCATGATAAGACATTAACTCTCTAAAAGTTTGGAGTTGAACATACTTTTAGTTCCTAAAATGTGAGACTTCAAAGTTGCACTTATACACTATCCATATAATAGAAATGATTTTATAATTTATTTAAACAATTATTGTTTAACAATTAACCAGTTAAACAAATTATAAAATAATTTTTATTTGATGAATTATCATCTTATGATGCTATATCCGCTTTTGCAATGTTTGAAAAAGATCAGTCTAATGATTTTTGCATAGGCATTAATAGATTCAGTGTGATATCTTACCATAAGGTAGCTAGTGTATAAGAACAACTTTGAGGTCTCATATCTCAAGAATTAAAAATATGCTCAATTTCAAACTTTTAGTGAGTTAATGTCTTATCATAAACTATCGTTTAGGACTAAATTCAAGCTCACTTTCGAGGATGACCAAACAAATGATTCTTGCGGTCACTCTTTATCAAAGTTAAGTCTGCATATGATTTTCAGTTGCTTTTTCAGTTACTAGGTTATTTACTGAAAAAGCATTGCTCATTGCTATAGGAACAGCTGTACTGGCAGTATTGCTTTGATTTCACATTGTGTGGTTTGCACTGACCGATCAGCTAGATCTTTGTACTCGAAAAACACTGGATCCGAATAAATATGGAGTGAGCCATCGCTGCTGCGGTATATCATCGAATAAGTGCAACTGAATTTTTGCAAAAATTATGTGAAAATTTTGATTAAGTAATTTGAAACTGTATTTCGATTGGCTCTTGCAATGAATCAATACAGAACTATGTAAGAAAAATAGCACCGAATCTATCATAAAAAAAAAAAATCCTGCACAACATTGTTGCAGCAAAATGTACAAGATAGCGAGATGAGTATGAGAGTATGATGTAAGCAAAAAAGCATCGTATGCTGCCGGCTTTAGACAAATACCGATAGTTTTCTAGTGAGATACTTACGTGTGAATAGAACTTTGTTGCGTCTTAGCATGAGGATCTGAGGAACCTACATATAATCTTCTAGCTTGCGCTCTGTCTTGATAATTCGAAGATAATTGACAATTAAATGCTACATTATCTTTGTCAATTCCAAATTTGTATTTCAAACGTCGCAATTCTTCCTTATAAAGTTTTTTCTTCGAAGCTTTATTTTCGCTAAGATTAACGTTTCGTTGAACAAGACCTGGTTCACAATGACCACAAGTTTCATTTCCATTATGAATATGACATAATAACTTTGTTCCGCCAATTTTAATAACCGAGCCATGTATTATTTCATGAGGTTTGGATTCCTGTTTAGCAACCGATAGTCTTTTGCCATCTATAAACGTACCATTTCTCGAGCCAGAATCTATCACTTGGTACCGTTTTCTAGTTTCGTTGTATACAAAACGTGCGTGATACTGTAAATATATACTATTATCGTAGTATAGAGGGGACATTTTTTTAATTACGGAAATTGTTCATAATCTTATTGAAAAATAAATTATTCATTCATTACGTAAATTTATCTCTTTCATATACCTTACTAATATTTATATCCGGTATTAGCACCGAGTGATCTCCTTCTCGGCCTAGCGAACCTCCCGTATATGTTACAAGAAAAAGAGAACCTAATTTTAATTCTTCCAAGTCTGTTTCTTTGACAATAATTCTCATACATGGTGGATAATTTTTCGCTAAATCTGAAATCAAAATGATTATCGGACTTGAAAATTTATACGTATAAAAAAAATATAATCTTTCTGAAAATATTGAGCTTTTATCATATTAAATATTTTGTAGTACCAATTTGAATCAAACATAAAATCGCAATTCTTACAATAAAGTGTCAAAAAAGAATTTTTAACAAGATTTGAGAAAAGATTAAAATTTATTTTCGAAAAAATCAGAGATAATGATACATAGGTTTATATTAAGATATCGATAGAAAATTGCTTCTGTAAAAATAATTGGAGAGTATGTGGAAAAAAAATTGAATTATTAAATTAATCACTATAAAGATCAAATGTATTTCTATATTATTATAAAATTTAATATACGATCATAAATTAGTTAGATTAATGTTAATGATGACAAAATTTGAAATGTACCTTAATACAATGTAATAAAAAGATTTTATCGCAAGAAAATTTGTTAAAATTTTATATCATAAATGTTGAACTTGCTTTATGAATAACAAAATGACAAGATATATACAAAAAAAAAATCAATAGCATAAAGAACTAAGAATCGAATGTACAAATAATAAACCTTGATCTTCATCATCGCTTTCACTACTCGTCGATACATCAGGAATAATTTCATACGAAGTATTGTCAGTTTCTCTTTCACTTTCGGAACATTCACCCTCTTCAGGTTCTTTATCTTCCTCTTTCTGAGAATTTTCTTCTTCATTTTTAAATTTTCGCTTTTTTACGTTATCCTACAAGAGAGATGCGTGTAAATCAAAAGTATAATTACATAAAGTTTGTCTGTTTTTTTTCTATTACATTAGAAAAATCCCTTATTCAATATCATGAACGAATTTTTATTAGTTTTAATGATAAATTATATTCGAAACCTCTAATTCAAGATAAATTTTTTTTTCTGCAAAATACTAAACATATGATAAAAGTACATGAAACTTAAATCATACCTTGTATGTTTTTTCATATTTTTTCTTTTCTGGTAAAATTAAAGAATGCGTAGGAATATTATTTACATAGATCTGACTGTGGAATTGATAAGTATTACTAGATTCGTCATAGTAATAATATGTTCCAGTATTTCCATCATAATATAAACCTTGTTTCTACAATCATAAATAACATCATTGGTTTTATTTTCATAATATTTTTATGATATTATGAGATTATGAGAAATTAAAACGTTATAATATTATATATATTTTAACATCCACTAAATTTACATAATACATACTGTATCATAATAATATCCAGTAGTATAATCATAATACATTCCCGATGTTTGTTCATAAACAAAACCAGTCTGTAATAAAGCTGATTCCGCTGCTCGTTTCACTTGCTCTACTATACTAGATGATTCAATATCATGGTTAACATCCCAATCCTGTGATAATTCATTAAAATCGAAAAGATTGGTTTGAATTCCACAATCTATATAGGTTTTTATACAAGGTGAGTTTTTCTGTAAAAGATAGGTCAGAAAATTGAAAGTGTAATTTAACGCAGAAAAAAAGGACAATGGAAAAAAAAAGTAAGAGAAATACAAATATGAAAGAAAAGCTGAATTTAATCGGATCTAAAAAAAAGGAAATAAGAATTAATTTTAGAAGATATATACCTTTTTTTTACTTCTTTTTGTAGTTGGTCGATTGTCTTCTGTTGTTCATCAATACGATTACATAGTTTATGGATAAATTTTAAAACATGGGGCAAATTATGCAAGTCTTTTGCAAAAGTTTGATCAAGATCCGATACAACTCCTTCGTCACTTTCGCTAAACATCTTATATGATCCAATGAAATCGTTGAAAAAAATAACGAGTATCAATGTTTCCGTAATATAAGATTTAGCTACAATCATAGTAAAAGAAGAAACAAAAATATTAAAAAGTTATATAATAAGTAATATTAAAAAGTTATACAATAAGTATATATTTAGTTTAATGTTTGATATCAATAGATGTGTCATTATGTTTTTTTTTTTGACGTGAAATATAGCAGGAGTTTTCATAGATTCTCGTAAAAATGTTCGGAGATAGAACAGGTATTTGAAAGTGTAGCGTTGGTGTATATGAAACAGTATAACATAATAATTATACTCAATTATTTGTACGAATTTATGGATATATCAAGATATATCGGTATAAATCAGGGATGAAAGATATCGTTTAAAATTGAATATAAAATCATTCGACGTGTTAATTTTAGGTTATGAACGTTAAAAGTTAGTTAAATAATAGTTAGTAAGTAAGTTAGTTAAATAAAATATAATGTAAAATTGTTTAATTTTGATAATTATTTAATTTAAGGGGCTTCACCTTCGATTTTGATAACATTAAACTCATTCGACGCATTTTTATACAAAATAAAAAAATCTTGCAAAAAAAGGCGTTGCTTTGCCCCGCGAACCGAGATATTAATCGTTAAGATTTTTTTTTTATTTTTTTATTTTTGAAAGTTCTCTCCGGAGAAACTTTCTGGAGAGTGCCAGATAAATCCCTGATTACGTGTTTTCAACCCCAGAGTTATATGACACAGGATTCTCTATCTCCCCTGGTTCTTGTTTCTTTCCCTTTTTTCTTTACTTATATCCTTTATAAATTTATCTATATTCTTCTATATTCTAGTTCAACTTTCTCTTTATCCACGTTTAGCTTTCTCTTTATCCTTAAAAATTGCATGACGCAACACAAAAATTCATGTGGGGACAAAAGACGTCCTACTCACTCAATGGTCAAAGATCAACTTATCTCTTAAAGTTGCATTAGTGTCGGTCCACAATAAGTATTTAATCTTTAAGCCGTAAGAAATTGACTAATCATAATCGAGTATTCTTTTCATATTCGATTATAATTGGTCAATTTCTTACTTTTTAAAGCTTAAATCACCTATTGTGGACCGACACTTATCCAGGGTTAGGAAATCTGTCATATCGACTTAGGATGCATTCCTTTATTCATTCCGAATACTATGAAGTACTGTCAGTACTACAAATAGCGTTCTGGTATAGAGAGCAGTTAGAGACACTACAGTCAGAGACTGGCCACGTCAATCATAACTTTACGTAAAATTTTTCACTTTTCATTTTTCACACCTTGACATTTCACGTGAAATTTTTCACGTACTTATGTATATAGCTTGGATGCGTGGAAAGTGAAATCATGAAACATAATTTTCATAGGTTTTATAGCTAATGAAAATTATTTTATTGGTACAGTATTATATACATGTTTTAATAACCAATTGTACTACGTACACTTAATCCTAACGCAGTCCTAATATTCTTTAATTCCGAAGCATATTTATTAATTCCCTAAATTTCCGCCTTTCTGCTACCAAGGTACATGGCGAAAAAGTTTACGTGAAAAATTCACATTTTCATGTTTGAGAGAGTTAAGCCAGCGGCACACAATGCTTTTTTTCTTGCTGGTTTGCTAGCTGGATTCGCGTGCTTGTGGAACTCTTGTCTTCGATTGGTATATTTTTTTAGATTCAAAAGAATATACCAATCAGAAACAAGAGCTCACAGCACGCAAATCCAGCTAGCAAATCAGCAGGAAAAGAAGCATCGTGTGCCGCTGGCTTTACATGATTCCAAAATCGTACATGTCGTGTGATCGTAAGTTCACGTGAAACTTTTCACTTTTCACATTTCCGCCCTAGGGGAAAAGTTACATGATTAACCCCCTGATTCGCCAATCAGAGACTCTGATCCACCATGTTTTGGCTAAATCCTACGAGAAAGAAAAAATACACACCATCTCATTCTAACCAATAACGTGTTTTAGTTAGAGTGAAAGAAATATACACCAGCTCATTCTCACTCATCAATTCACTTCATCTCAACCAATAGAGATATTTTTTACTTTGCATGTGCATTGATTTAAGTGTATTGTGCATGTGTATTAAACACGTGGAAAGCGTGATAATATATTATTAAATAAGAAATACTAAAATATTATTAAATTAGAAATACTAAAATTGCAAAATATAATTATAAATTAATTAATTGTGATAAATTAATATAAAAAATGGATGGATGTTCATTTTTTTACTTAAATTTTATTTTATATTGTAATAAAGTTTATTTATAATAATAATAAATATGTATAATAATCCTTTCTAAAAAAAGGCATGACATCGATACTTGCATCTCTCGAAATTTCCTCAAACTTTATTGTTGACGTTTTTCCGCAATGGGTTCTCTCGCTGCGCTAACTTTGTGAATAGTTCTCATTGTATTGATTTCACAGAGGATCATTTTGACAATTGTGAATCAAAAAATTAAAATATTATAGTGTAACAGTAGTATAATAGTATTATAT